TCAGCTTGCTTGGCTTGAGTTCTGGATAAACAGAAAGGAGAGAGACAACAGAAGGAAAGAAGAAATATGGGAAGGAGGGAAAGGGAGATACTCAATATATTTGTCTCAAGCAAGGCTCTACCTTTGCAAATCAACAGATAGGGTCAGAGGGTCCAGAGGAAAGCATTCCAAATATCTGTATGGGACAGATACAATTCTTTGACTTAGGGCTAGACTGCTATTTTGCTATGTCTCTAGATGTCTGCTTATGTGGTAATAGGTGGGGCTTTTCAGAGGTGGCTGTATCTACAGTGTACGATGATGGGTTTATAGACGTGATGATGAGATTTACGGTGACATGACAGAATTAAGGTTCCCCACCCTGAGTGTGAGTGCCTTTTGCCCTAGGGGTGGATAGCCTGGATAGAATATAAGGGACAAGAAGAGGACTGCTGCCACTGCTTGCTGCTTGCTACCCACTTACTGCTTTGCTGCCTTCTGCCTGCCATGAACTATTTCTCCTCTGTGATGTCCATCTGTCATGCCACCCTGCCTTGGAGTTAGCCAACAATCAAGTGAAACTTGTATAAACTGTGAGCCAAAATTAACCTTTCCTTCTTTAACTCTGAATGCCAGGCATTTTGTCTCAGCAACAAGAAAAAGTAATTTAAGATGGAATTTGGTACCAGAAAAGTGAGGTTGTTGCTGTTACTATGTTTAATCATATGGTTCAACAGTCTCTGGAACTGGCTTGTGGGAAGAGTCTGGAAAGGTTTGGAAATGCAGGATGAAGAAGCAACCCCAGAATGCTGTATTTAATACGAGATTCTAGTCATAGATCAGAAGACCAGAATGCTGACAGATATGCTGCAGTAACGTCCAGGCTCAGGAGGTTTCTGCTGGGAAGAAGGAATGAATTCGCTCTTGAACTCTAGATGATGTGTGTTGTCTTAATAGAAAGTTTGTCTGTATTTTGCTCATGTCCAGAGACTTTGCCTGAGACTGAGATTAAGGGCAACGGATTAACTAATGTTGCAGAAGATATCTGAAGACAGTCTAATGTTGAGGCAGTGGCATGGCTACTGTTAAGAGCTTTTAGCCAAATCTATGTTGAGATTTAAGAGCAAAAAGCCCAGCAGAATGATTTAAAATTGTGTAAGTTTGGCCAGAAAGGAAGCTTCAGTAAAGCTGTGGACTGCACAGATAGAGCAGAGAATCTGGTTGCTCAAAAGAAACAGGACAATGGAAAAGATGGTCTAAGGACATCACAACGAAGTGGCAAGACTCCAGCCTTTGCAGTCTCCAGGTTGCAAAGGTGAAAGAATTTGCTTTGAGAAGAAAGCCCCAGTGCACCATGTTCCAAAATGGTGGCAATCTAGAGAATTTGTTCCTTGGGACTGGGTTCAGAGTCTTCAGCAATCCAAGTATTTGACCCCTACAGCCAAGAAAGAAAAAGAAGACTAGCTGCTGCTCCAGCCAGTGTCAAACCTTGGCATCATCCACATGGTGCTGGTTTTAGGTATATGAAGAATCTAAGAGAGTTGTAGGGTCAGAAAGGCTTCCACCTAGATTTCAGAAGACGACCTGGGAAGCCAGGCACTGAGCTCCTAAGAGGCAGTGTTTGTAGCTCTGAGTGTGAAGCCAAAGTTGCAGTGGAGACCCCAGAACTCTGGAGAACCAGGAACATGGATTGTCTGAGGAAAGCAGCAAAGAGTGGGCAAAGTTGGCCCAAGAGAAGATACAAGAACTACACCCACCTAAATGGAAGTAAATCTTGTATGGATCAAACAGAAGACGTAACATTGTTAAAATGGGAATACTTTCCCAATTGATTTACAGATTTAAAGCCATCCCTATCAAAATATAGAAAGTGCTGATACTAAAATTCTTATGGAGATTCAAGTAACCCAATAGTCAAAACTATCCTGAATAAGAACAAACTCAAGAAGACTCACATTTCTTGATTTGAAATTTAATTACAAAGCTACCTAAGTTATAAGGCTGTGAGGGAGCAGAATAAGTATAGGCATATATATGAACAGAATAAAAGTTAAAGTCCAGAAGTAAATCATCAAATTTACAGTCAACTGATTTTGGATGAGATAATTCAATGAGGGGAGAATGAATAGTCTTTTGAACAACAGTGCTGGGATAAACCGATATACACATGTAAAATAATGAAATTGGATCTTTTCTCATACCATACACAAAACTAACTCAAAATAATCAAAGACTTAAACATAATTATAAAACTCTCAAGAAAAAAACCTTGGATTTGGCAATAGTTTTATAGATATGACATGAGAAGCACAAAAAACTAAGGACAAAGTAGGTAAATTGGACCTCATTAAAATGTTTTAAACTGTGCTTCCAAGGGTACTATCAAGTGAAAAGAAAACTCAGAATGAGAGAAAGTATCTACAAGCTATAAATCTGAAAAGGGTCTATATGTTAGTCAGCTTTCCATTCCTGTGACCAAAATACCTGAGACAATCTACTTATAAATAGGAAAGCATGTGTCTCAAGGTTTAGAGTTTTAAGTCCATTCCACTTAGCCACATTGCCTTTGGGCCTGTGGAGAGGCAGAAAATTATGCCAGAGTTTAAGTGGCAAAAAAAAAAAAAAAAAA